CTGGTTTGACTTAGAGAAAAGCAAGCTCAGACTTCGGCGCTTTTCCTGCCTGCCATGGGACAGGAGCAAACGTCAAACAACACAAGCATCCGGAACCGACGATCACCGGTGCGGGTAAAGATCAGGAAACGACGAGAGAGTCGCATCTCAGAGACTCTCCGAATCACACCCGCAACTTTCGCACCGTGGTGCCCTCCACATTGAGCCATATGTAAATCGCAAGTATGTGCCTGGCACTCTGAGTGGCATGAAGTTCTGTCAGGATCGCACCGGTGCGGCATCTAAAAACTTGGGTCCTCGCACATGCGAGATGGGACAGTCGGAGGGACGTTCTGGGCACCGCCGTTGCTCTAGAAGTTTACAATCGACGTTCCGGAAGGGATGGATGCAACGGACGAGTTCTCAAGAGCTCCGCATATTTACATCAGAGACTAGGCCTTTCGAGCCTAAAGACTCCAAGACTGAGGCACTGCCCAGGCACTGCCTGATGCAGCTCTCAGCTTCGCAAAGGTGCACTGGCACTTGCCGCGCACAAGCCAGGGCAAAGAGAAGAGACGCTTCACGTGTCTCACCTCCCCTGAGACGGTGTGCTTTGAAAACTTGCAGTGGGGCCACCCAGTTCCGGCAAGGTCGGCTGGCCGTCCACAAACGAATTACCGATGCTGAAAGACATCGGATCCCGTAGTGAGGCTGCAAATCTGAGCCTGGTGTCTCATCATTTCCCTCAGTCCGAGAGCTCTGTCGCGGCCGACTTCTGCTATGTACCGGTTGTCTTGCACAAGCTGCCTCAAAGGAATCTGCCCTGTGCCAAAGACTCCGGCTCGTCGTCAGCTGAAGTCGAGAGCTTGGCCACAACTTGGACCTGAAAGCCATTTCAAGAATCGGAGACGCTTCCATTCTGGCTACTGAAGTGCTGAACTGTACCGACAAGAGGGTACTTCTCTGAGCAAAAGGCAGAATGCAAATATCAGCTGAATGCGTCCACCGCATTGTGAGCAACTGAGAAAGCAACAGCCGATCTGCAGGCGCAATCTCGCTTCTTAGGACTGCTTCAAGTCGCTGACAACTTGGGCACGTAGCCGGCAGTACCCAGCGGTACCTGCAGAGCTTGGGCCGACAAAACACCCGTCACGGAGCCGGGCACGTGCACCTCAGCATCCTGGCTCGTGCCTCGGGCAGGGCAGGGCAGACTACGAGGCTGCCATAGGCTGCCGGCCAAGTGCTGAAACGGAAGAGAGAACCAACCTTTTTTGTTGCTGACCCTGGAACCCGGCCAGAGCTGTCGCTTTCACTCCACATCGGATTGGCCTCGCAGCGCGCCACGGCCGTGAGACAGCTACAAGATATCAAAGTCTCCTCCTCGTACGCGGGCAAAGGAGCATACCTGCGATTTGCCAAAACGAGGTCCATGAATCATCGGCTTTACTCTCCGGACTCTTGACACAATATGCTCAGACCAGGCTGGTGAGGAGGGCGCCAAGCGTCCTCACCTGATCTTCCGCCCGCCTGGATAACTGCTTTGCAACGGACATTGTACTTCCACCACCGCATGTTTCTAAGTGGCGTGCTCGACATGGACCAGGAGCTTCTTGAGTGCCTGTTGGACCCACAGCTGTCGTTGTCCCACAACTGTGGCTTCCCATGCCTAGCAGTGAAGCCTTCGTGTCCTTGGCACAATTCGGTTGGGCAAGGGATCAGTAAAGCGACGTCCGAACTGGGGAGAAAACTCTCAGGAAGAGCGGCCTCGCGGTCAGGTCCCCGCGACTGACCTCAGAGCAGGCTCTGCACGCCGGCCACACAAAGCAAGTCGACGCACGATGCAGATCGAAAAGGGGAGCGCCACCAAACAGAACAGCACAACAGGTCGCACTGGTGCTGAACACCGGGTGCCATCTGGGCGACATGCCCGGGCAAAGGCGTAGTGCATGTAGTTCGCCTCAAAGCCCTGCACCAAGCACAGGCCACAAGGCCGAAAGGCAGAGCAAACAGTAGAACTGCACCTGGAGGGTCGCCGGCACAATGGTTATGATCTGACAGGGGGTGCGTGCATTTTCCATCTTGCAGCATCCCGTTCGGAGCCCTGCAAATTTGTCATAAGCCTTGCTGGAGTTGAAACGGCTCATCTTGCGGCCTTCGTACATCATGCGAAACCTGAGCAAGAAGACGGAAGCAACCTGCGGTCGCTTACTGGAACAACGCTCACTCTGAAAGTTGGAGCCACACGTCCATGCCAGCGCCGGATCCAGGAAGTTCAAGAAGGCGTAACCCCTGTTCGCCCCTGTTTCTGTATCTGGCACGCATGCGACATCACGCGACACACATCGCTGCAAATAGGCCGACTTTCGGACTCCACCAACGTCCGAGAGTCACCACGAAACATGCATGTCGGACCAATCGGAAGGTAGAAGAAGTCGAAGCTTCCAAAAAATCCAGCATGATTCACCTTCCCGAGTTGTCGCAGCCCCTAGGAGTTACAGGATTGTGACAGCTTCGCTTCGAAAGAGCAAAAAGCCTCCATGAGGAGCATTCGCTGGGTGTACCTTAAAATCAGGGATGAATTCGGGCAGCCTGTCGCCAGCTTCTGCCGGTGCTGCCTGTGCTGCCTGTGCTGCCTGTGCTGCCTGTGCTGGGGGTCGCGCTTGTTGGGCAAGTTTCGCATCATGATGGTCGTGACCTGCAGCCACTCCTCAAGCCAGGGCTTCAGAGAGCCACGATCCGATTGCACGTCATCTACGTGATTCTTGGCAGGTTACAGAGCGAACAAACGTGTGTGAGCTCCATTGTTTTCTAGTTCATGGTTGGGACGTATGCAAAATTGAGCTTTCTCGTCCTTATCGAGTATAAGTAGCCAGATATGTGTAGAATGTTACCCAACTATGACAAAGTTTTGGGCTTGCCTGTCACTCTCGGTGCGACCCGCCACCGCTAGTGATTTCCTGGAGCTCTTCTGGAAGCATCCTTGGGGCCCGGGCAGCAGGCATGCTCTCGTCGGATGGAGGGTCTCCTTGCGGGCTGCTGAGCATTGCCGCTCCCGGCTGCCCACCCACCCGCGCCTCTGGCCGAGCAGAACTCAGGCCCGTGGGCCTCTAGCGAACACAAGCGCGAAGCTGGCTTTCCTCTCTTTATGCTGGCTGGCACCTCTAGCCGACATGTTCCCGATGCATGGGGTGCAAAACCTATTCCCTAAAAGGCGTGCGTAAGTGCGAAAGCCCAAAACCCGCCGAGGAGTAGCGGTGCGAGATCCCTGACAGGATACCTGGCATAACCTGACCAGGTGCGAAAACCGCAGTGTTTAAGGGTGTGGCAGGTGTGGAAACCCAAAACTGAAAACCCGAAACCCTAAAAGAAGTAGCTGCTTCACGAATGCAAACCGGTAAAAGGAGCAGGTGGGTGCGAAACCCAAAACCCTGAAAGGAGTGGACCCAAAATGCTAACACGAGTGGTTTGCCCAAAAACAACCCCCTGACAAGGCTGGTGGGCACGAAACCCAACACCTTAGTAAACACCCAAAACCCTACAAGGAGCGAATGGGTGCAACAACACACAAACAGGGAGTCGGTCATGCGAAAACCTAGAACTCTACACGGAGTGGTGCAAAACCCAAACCCTAAAAGCACTCTCCGGGTCCGCGGGATCTGAATCAGGAGAGCGGAAACCTGTAGCTTCCTTCAAGTAGATATGCACTTGCCAACTTTAACTCCCCTGCATGTAGGAGCCTTTGGAGAGGAACGTAGGACCGCAAAAATTCTCGTAGTAATCAGTAGGCTACCAGCTGCAGATATCCCCTGCGATTAGAGCTGAGCCAACCGCCACTGGATCTACGTCGTCCAAAGCTTCGTGGCTTCTGCCCACCATCTTGACCCGCATGGGCTCCGCACCTTCCTGTGCAAGGGAAGCCACAACGATTCAATGCTGGCATGAAACGATCTCCACGTTTTCCTCTTGCGGACCTCATGCTGGGTGCAATCCAGGATGCTCCTCGGCCTGAGAAAGGCGAGGACCCCACGAAGCCACAAGACACTTGTGGATCCACGATCTTAAGCAGGACCTGCCTCCCCAAGTGTGCGGGACCTGCAAGCTCACGTTAGAACTGAGATCTTCCTAACCTTGCGTCTCGCACCTGACAGCAGGTCCTCTGCATACACCAGGGAGGGCAAGAGCTCGTCCTTTCCGAGAATACTCTAGCAAAGCACAGCGCAACTGCACAAGCGTCTGTCCTTCATGTCCAAAGCCAGGGCATCCCTGTCAACTTTGAGGGGGAGATCGGCAGAGACAAGCCTGCGGACAGGGACGACGGCCACTGCAGTAGCTGCAGCCTCTGCAGCCTCTCGCCTGAACTGCTGCACGGTCTCCGCTTTCGGGAGGCCGTCTGCCTGCTTCGACAGGTGCCGAAAACACCCCTCTAGCGACTCTAGCATCCATTGTAACACCCGCCTGGCCATCGCTTGACCACTCAAGCATGATCTTGCAGATCTCCAGCAGGAATATTGTGTATATGTCTATATTTTTTTCAGAAGGTTGGGAGCAAGTCTGCACTGCCCACTTTGTGCATGAAAGCAAATCAGGCCCCGTTGAAATTCTGTCAGCGTGTTGTGCTGGGTGCCAACCATGTAACCATGTCTTTGATTGAGCAAAAGCTGCAACACCATGCTGGCGACAGCCGCATCAATGAGATGCGTCTCGCTATATGTGTCTAGATGAGAGTATGTCGGGCACCAGCACTGCGCGCTCAGTAATCAGAAGGGTGAAGTCTGTAAAGCAGCCAGCAACGCAGTCAATCCCGCCCGGATTTTCTCTCGAAGGGAACAAAGCCCTCTTACATCTGTAGTCCTCACACCACACCATGCAGCATGCTTGGCAAAACTTCACGGTAGAGATGAAGACGGTGAAACAGTTTCTCCCACGCACACCAAGTTTGCCTTCCATATTTCTGATTCACAAGCTGTCAACTTCCCTTAGGTCAGTCAACTGCCGAGTTGATTTCTGGAGTGGTGAGCGGGTCACTTGCGCATCATGTGGCCCATATGTACCTGCACACAGGTTCCTCTGCTGATGCTGCACAAGATTGCGCGTTGCTCTGGGGCAGTCGCTCGTGCTTCATTGAAAGCTGTCTGGTCGTTCTTGGGAACACCACGCCACTGTTCCGAAGCCTTCCGAACTGCCAGGGCGGCCAGGGCGTCCAGGGCGGCCAGGGCGGCCAGGGCGGCGTGCTCTGAACTCCCAGCACTCCGGGCCTGTTGGGCTAGAACGGCTCTGTGGAGCTGTGCAGTGTAGGCAAAAGCACCTCAAGATCTCTCGGAAAGCAGGGCGAGGCGGCGAGGCAAGGCCGAAAATGACGACGACGCTCCCACTTCGGATTCTCTCAGGGTCGCGCCATGCATCTCTGATGGAGTGTGACTCAAGTGGGTCGGCGGCACCTTACATTCACGACATGCCAGAAGGCGGTAGGCTGACTCTGGCAATGCCAGTAGGGAGCTTGCAGGCAACGGACCGATAGAACACTCCTTCGAATAGTCTTTGATTCCTTCTCCTCGTGTCGGCAACGGCCTCCAGTGGCCCCGACGGCATCACGTTATTCCTTCATGCTTTCATGCAGAATGCCAAAGCCCCTCAGTCTCAGAGCGTCACTGTTGCAACAAGTTGCCGACATGGTCGCGGAGTGAGAAGGGAGCCAACAGGTCCTCCAAGGGAGCCAAACCGTTTGTTGTTGCTTTTGGGTCAGACATGTCCAGCCCTATTCCGTCCCACATGTCATCCAAGTTCGACCCGGTGCTCGGCCGGCCTCCGAGAAGACCGCACTTTGGTCCCGCGCACGTCCCTCTCAAGACTCGGTTCCTGGCTCTGAGCGCCTCCGGTCACAGGCCTGCCTTAGGCAAGGATTAAGACCACCTAGCTGACGAAACTCATGCCTGAACTTCGACTGCACCTGCATGACCTCCGCAACCCGTGCTCCCCCCGGCGAGGGAGTCAATCGTCTCAGCCGCGTGACTGGCAACTTGGGCCGCCTGGCTCGCGCCGCCCGATTCCATCCCCACGATTGCACTCTTCCCGGGTTCTTGCCTCGCCGGCAGCTGCGCTCGCCGGACCGTGTTTCCTGCACATTGACAGGCTGCAGGCAAGTGTGCAACTACTTCTCGCCAAGGTTCGGTCTGAGGGGCCCGCAAAGAATTTTCAGCAGCCAACTTCACCTTGGTCCACCGATTTGCAAAATGTGATGGCATGCTCTCGCGCTTTAACCATGGGATGCGTGTTGTCGCAAACATCAAGATCATCAAAACATGCTGGCGCTTCCGCAACGGCAAGGCGAGGACCGACCGGCTGCGCTCCGGTCGGAAAGTCCCGGCAAAAAGTGTCGACTGACAGTCGAGTTCACTGACCACCGTCAGTGATGAAACAGACTGTCTGAACGAAAAATGACGTGGCGACCTTCTTCTGCCCAAAGGGGTCAGACTTGTCCTGAGCCGTCACGGCGCGACAGGTGCAAAAGCATGTGAGCGGCCATCAGCCTGAGTTGCGAACGAAGCCAGGAGGCAAAACAACAAGCTGCTCCATCTGCTCTGCAGGGTGAATGTTGCTCGAGCAGTTTCGGTTCCTTTGTCCGGACAACATTGAGCCTGGCACTAACGGCCAAATCATGGCGAGATCAAGGGCGTGTCAGGGCGATCATACTTGCGGAACTTCGCGAGTTGACTCATGCCTTGGCTTCGATGGCTTGAGCTAAGCTAAGCTGCATAGGGTGCAAGCGCGGGCAACCGATGAAAGTCATAGAAGACCATTCCCAGTTTGGGTATATGGCACCACCTGCCCCAATTTAAGATACAATATATGAAATAAGCCTATTCACACTCTAGATCCCAATACTCCTATCTACCGTGCCATATACCAAAAACGGGAATGGTCTTCTCATATAATTTGGTTCAGGGTTTGGGTTAAGGGTTGTATCAAAGCATTGGGTCCTCGGATTGATCTATCATACTGTAAGCTATGGTATGACCCCGAGGTTTCGCAGAATAACTATACCACACTGTTAGTAGTAGTCGTCGTCGTCGTCGTAGTAGTAGTAGTAGCAGCAGTAGTAGTGGTAGTAGGAGTAGTAGTAGTAGTAGTAGTAGGAGTAAGACTAGTAGTCGTAGTCGTAGTAGTAGTCGTAGTAGTCGTAGTAGTCGTAGTAGTCGTAGTAGTCGTAGTAGTCGTAGTAGTAGTAGTAGTAGTAGTAGTAGTACCAGTAAAAGCCAGTGGTAGTAGTAGTAGTAGCAGTCGTAGTCGTAGTCGTAGTCGTAGTAGTAGTAGTAGTAGTAGTAGTAGTAATAGTCGTAGTAGTACCAGTAGTAGTAGTAGTAGTAGTAGTAAAAGTAGTCAAAGTAATAGTAATACTACTACTAGTAGTGGTCGTGGTAGTAGAGTGGTGATAGTTGTACTAGTAGTAGTAGTAGTAGTAATAGTAGTTGTTGTTGTTGTTGTAGTCGTTGTAGTACTAGTAGCAGTAGTTATAGTACCCAAAGCTTCCAAAGATGTTTAAATAATTTTTAGATATCTTTAATCATCTTGATTAAGCACTATAGTGTCTATTTAAGCATATTATATAAAGTACAAAAACAATGCTTAATTAAGCACTGTCAGATACTGTATATGCCTCGCAAAAATATAACAAACATATGCATGCGCACGATCGACTGCACGTGCTTTTCCTCTCAAGGATCACGTGCCGACTCGAGGAACTCTGTTCGCTGCCAGGAATCGTCTGGTTCTCCAAGTTAGTCATGCCATGCCGTGCAAAACAAGAAGCTGTGCGGACACTCTCTTTTTTGTCGGCTGGGGTTGCAGAGTCAGTGCAGTGCTTAAGCGAGTAAGTCAAGCAAATGCTGTGCGAGCAAAAGCAGCCCCCCAACGGGTGTGGAGGGTGGGAAGAAAAAAGAATGCTGGATCTGGGCCGCGAGCCTCAGATCTATATGGTGTTTCCCTAGGGTTCGAGCACAATGCATTGCGGAGCGTTGGCAAGTTCATGCTACCCTAGGAAAACACCGCTGACTTAACATACAAACACACAGCGAGCGTTCTCCAAGTTAGTCATGCCATGCCGTGCATAACAAGAAGCTGTGCGGACACTCTCTTTTTTGTCGGCTGGGGTTGCAGAGTCAGTGCAGTGCTTAAGCGAGTAAGTCAAGCAAATGCTGTGCGAGCAAAAGCAGCCCCCACTTTAGCCTGACACTGCAACCCTATGCCCGACGGAGAGCAAACCCCCACCGCGTCAGGGTGCAGTGCGGCTCTCGAGGCTGCTGCGGTACCTGGCAGACGACAGCAAGGCTATGCAAGCGTGACAACGAGACGTCAAAGCCGAACGTCTTTTTCACTCAACGAAGCATGGCAGAAGAGGCTCTGACAAGACAATCTGGCCAGTCGATGCGACTACCATGTAAGGAGACGCTATGCGATGCGGATGCTAACTGAGCCAGGCTGATGCGAACCCGCTCTTGAGCGCGGTGCTGTACAAAGGCGATGCATCTGCGGGACGTTGCATCGGCCCAGGCGTTCTTCTCGCCTGCCAGGTGCTCCACCTGAAACTGCACGCGGTGCAGGTGCGCCCAAGTTGCAGCCAAGCGCAGGAAGGTGCTGAGCGGCTCAGCCGTGCTAAAGAGCTTATTGAGGCCAGACTCTGCACTAGTGTTATCACTGGCGCTAGGCAAAACGAACCGTGCATGACGAGCACGGAGTAACTGCCAGGAGCATTGGGCCAAAGCGAGCTGTGCTAAGGTCTCAAAGCAACCTATGTATGGTTGCAGATTGCCGCTAAGCTGTGGCCACTGCCGACGAACGTCTTCATCCGAGAAAATTTCACTGAACCATACGAAGCTGCGTGCGGTGCTGAGCCAGCCACCTATACCCATCCGATGCTGATCGGCGAAAGCGTCTGCGGCGCTAAGGCAGGGCATCAGCGGTGCACATCTGAGACTGCGCGGCTGTTCGTGTGCAAAGCAGAGGCTAAGCCATTGCAGGACGAACTCGCTGTCTTTGCGCAAATGTATCTCTTGGCGAGACGGGTCTGCCAATCTGACCCACTGGTGCTTGTGCGATGGCGGGACTTTAGGCACATCTGATTTACTGTGAATCTTCAGTGCGCCGACCTCTAGTAGCTGGGCGTTGCGAGGCAGCCAGCTACCCGTCGGCGTTCTTGACAGCCGGGCTGAGCTGTCAAGGGCCTCATAAAAGGCAGACCACGAGGCCGGTGCTATGCTGTGCAAGGTACCCTTGGCGCTGCGGAGGTCTTTATAGAGCGGAGCCATGAAGGGTCTTAAATGTTTACTGAAGGTCGTGGCCCAGTTCAGCAGTCCTAGTGCGGCCTCCAGGGACGAGTTGTTTCGCATCAGAGAAGCCTGCAAACATGCAGGCCCTCTATATTCCCAGATTTGTATATTGGGAAAACCAGAAGAATATATATTCCATGTCACTCAAATATAT